TTCTCAGAAGAGAATAGAGACAGGACCATTCCCAACGGGAGGTGAGTTTTTTAACGAGAGATTGTTCTCTTCTCTTTTAATTTTTTTAATCATCAAAAGTGTTGAAATAGTGAAATGGATTACAGCGCTTGACATGATGTTAGGCACCACAATCATACCTTTCAAGCCATTAAATCAAACATTTAGTATTCTTTTAAAAAAATTTAATTCAAAGTTGTTTTATTTAAATATAACAAATATAAATTAAATAGAATAATATTGTTATTACTTTTAAAAAAGTTCCATGCATTAGATTAGAGATGTATTAGTTGCTCTTTTATTTGAAAATTAAATATATAAAAGCATGATTTTATATAAAATAATATATATTAGGATGATGTAGTGCCAAAGTGAATTTTTTTCATTGTTCTTCATTATTCATACTCTAATGAACTCAAAAAGTGTTTCTTTTATCTAGCTGTTTGAATTACTTATTCAAATGTAACTAATAATTGATATTTTATAGTTGATGATTATTATTATTTTTATACATCATATTTATACAAAATCTCAACAATTTATCTCTTTACTTTCAATAATTGAGATTTATTATAGTTTTTTATATGAAAATAATAATTATCTTTAATAAATGTGAATAGTTGTTAATCGTTAATTATTAAAAAGTAAAAAAATAAATAATTAAGATTTTATGTAAATATAATATATAAAACTTATGAGTAAGTTTAAAGTTATTTTTTTATGGCATAAATGTGGTGTTTTGTTATATAATTGAATATTATTTTCATGTGGGATCTAGGATTCATCTCCCTTCCATCACCTCTTGAATTTGTAGTAATGACAATGCTACCATATAGAAGACCATTTAATTTTTTTTCCCCATCAACGAGGACCATGCAATTTGTGGAAATTTAACCTGTGGTCAAATATCCAACTTAAAAATTAATTGACTTTAGGTGTCCTTCTTTTGTCACACTTTTGTTTGTAAGATTTTCCCAATTAACACATGGTAGAAGTAATCCTATAGGATTCTTTTGAGGAGGAACAATGAAAGCAACAGGGCAATAAAAAAACACAAGAAGATAGTCGGAAATCTAGAAAAATAATGAAGTAATTACAGCAACCATTTGAATTTGCATTTGCAGGGGGTCCACTCAGAACAATGTAGCTAGGCATATATCATGTTTAAGGATCATGTTACAAGCTGTTATGATGGCCAAAAAGAGAAAACAGTTTTGATGCATCCCCTATAATCATCTTGAAAGAATATATATCATCCCCTTGTACATGTACCAAAAAAATTAATTAATGCACACAATGTACTCACTGTACCCACCAAGGAAACCATACCAATGTGGTCTTTATGCTCATGCCATTTTTTTGTTGATCAACACAGAAAAATTGCTTTTAAAAGATAGCGTGAATATCCTTGTTAGTTTAGTGCCCTAACAAGAAAATCATGCCACTTCTAGACAATGATAATAATGTAGTGAATTTTCCTCCACACGAGAAACTCAATATATGGTACAGAGTATTGGACCCTTACAAAGACAATCAGATATCAGCCTTAAATCTTTCCTTTAAAGCAGGGTGTAGGTGCTATTTTATTCAGTGTACAAATTAGTGAATGTCCTCTTTGGAGACAGGATATCTTAGAGGAGGACAGGGTTATCTGAATCATTACAACAATGGAAAGAATAGAACATCCAAGGCTCTAGAAAGAATGTTAGAGATTTTGCTCTAATCCTTGCTCATCCAATGTCATAATAAACAAGCATAATATGCTAGAAAGGAACATAAAAAAACAGAGTCTGCACTAATCTGAGGCCACCACCTAATACCCTTACAATCTCAGCTAGACCATTACCCTCTTCTTTTCATAGTGGTAACCCCACCCTTCCACCTAATGAAACCTTCATCAGCAAGATCTCAGCGTCGACAACCTGAGGTTCGTTTGCTTGTGAAGCCGCTTGTAAGGGTGCCAGAATCAGTTGAGACATATGGGACTGCCAGTTCTCTGCCTAACATGGAAAAAGAACAGCCACTTGATGAAACTAATGATGGGACTCAAACAATGAAACACCCTCGATGGACCAGAGAGGAGACAATTGTTCTCATACAAGGCAAGAATGCTATAGAAGAGAACCTACTGCGAGAAGGTCAACAACAAGGGCAGAACGAACCGAAGTGGTATTTAGTCTCATTATATTGCAAACAGCATGGCGTTGACAGAGAGGCCGTTCAGTGCAGAAAAAGATGGAATACTCTTATTGGTGAATACAAGAAAATTAAAACTTGGGAGTCACAGATAAGGGAGGGGGCTGATTCATTTTGGGTGATGAGGGCTAAATTGAAGAGAGAGAGAAAACTACCTAATTCATTTGATAAGGAAGTATATGATGCCTTTGAAGGAAAAAGGTCTGCCGTGGCAGCAATTCCATTGGCAACAGAAATGGGTAGTGATATTGCAAACGAAGCAACAGGATGGGAAGAAGAGACTGGTGATGATAATGCAAAGGAAGCAACAGCAATGGAAGAAGAGACTGGGGATGAAGTTGCTGAAGCAGTTTTTGATTGTGGACACTCACACGCTATAGCAGAAGAGGGTTTATTCTCTAATTATGAGCAGCCTGGGCAGGAAGACATCGTGCAGGGATTTGAGAAGGAAAATATTGAAACAAGCGGGATAACTACAAAGACAGTTAACGGTCTGTCACCTAATTCAGGTATGTTAAAGCTTCTGTACGTTTCTTTATTAGAATCATTGAGAGCATTGCTTGGCTTTGATTTGCATTTTCTTAAACATTATTATCTACAATCTAAAGCTCTTGATTTGTTTTATATATTCATTTAATGGTCTTTAGTGTAGCGTTAGGCTTAAAGGCATAAATGTTCTGTAGTGCTAATGCACAATAGCAAACCGTTGATCCGTCAAGCCTACATGTGAGGGGGAGTTATTCAGTTGCAGTGTTATCCCATATCTATTAAAGTAAGGCGTTTCTTGTGGCTCTATATCATATTGGGTCTCTGCAATTATAACCAACGGATTTTAAGTTAGATGCTCTCACACGGCATCAAAGCCTATCCTGTCAATTGACGTTTGAATGGGATTTAGATGCGAGGGGGAGTGTTTCATAGTAGTGTACTAGTGTTATCTGTACTGAGTTAGGACTCTTCACCAATTCCTAACTGGTTTTTGGTTGAATAACTTGGTTTATCAAATTTATGAACATTCAACTACAAGATCATATACATGCTATGCATTAGAATAAACATAATTCACCTCCTAGATATGATTCAAGACATTACAGATGCTAATGTTGTAACACAATACTTAATAATCACCACTAAGAACTTGAAGCATATAGAATATTCCTTCTATTCTTCTGCTTCTATGCTGCAGATAAGGTGAAAGGAAAAAATCCAGCCTCAAGTGAATGGACAGGGTCTATGACCGAGGACGGTTTGAAGCATGGGTGGTCATCACTAGATGGATGTGTAGATGCAAAGCTAGACCAGTTGATCAAGGTTCTAGAAAGGAATGGTAGCCTGATAAATGAGCAGATTCAAGCTCAAAACACAAACTGTCAACTGGATAGGGACCAAGGGAAGGAGCACACTGAAAGCTTGATTGCTGCCATCAACAAGCTCACAGAAGCGGTGGTAAAAATTGCCAATAAGTTACAAGTTAAAAAATAAAACCAAGAACGCAGCAATCTAGCTTCCTGCAATATGACAAAGTATGCAGGAAATAGGTTTCAGCTTGGCTTTCCTTTTCTTACCACACAATGGCCCAGACCCAGAACTAGAAGAGGCCCCTCTTTGCCTTTTGGATTTACAACTGAAATAAGGAAGAAAGAACAGACAATTTAGAGTTTCTTTCTAATATCCTTCATGTCATCCTTCAATATTCAGAGATTTTGCTATTCTCCACTGAATTTTTTCCAAGTTGATGTTGAACTAGAAAAGGGAGTTTGCGCTTAGTTTTGCAGCTTTGATTGATAAGTTACAATATCTATTGATTAAAAACCAAGAAAACCAGTTAAGAC